AGGGTCCGACGCAGCACCACAGTTTCTTTAGAAACTTTTAGCCTTTATTCATTTTTCAGTTTTACAAGGGGCATAATTCTAACAATAAGAAAACTCTGATAAACTGTTATTGATTTATTCATTCCTTCATTTATTTATTCATCAATTCTTTTTATTCTATACATTGGTCCATTTTATTGTTACCTTTTCAGAATCCTTGTGAGAGCAATCCGTGTGCTCATCACGCCACATGTCAAGCGGGGTTTGGTGACCGGTGTCTGGATACCGCTGGATACCGCTGTCTATGTACTGCTGGATATCAAGGAGTTCAGTGCGAGACAGGTGACAAAGAAAATTTCTTACGATAAAATGATGGGCTCAGAGAACAGGCAAAATAATTCTGACTCAAAAGATGGGAAGAGGGAAAGATGAACAAGCAGGCAAAGGATAAAAGAAGTATAAAAAGAAGTATATAAAAATATAAAAGAAGAAAGATCATGATTCATAAAGCTACTTTTATAAAGTTGGACGAAAAATCTCATCAAGGAGGGTTCTTAACCTTCGATTGTTTTCTTCTTAAATTGTGCATAGATGTAGATGAATGCACATCGGGAAAACACGATTGTTCCGTAGAGTACACATGTATCAATAATTTGGGTTCATATCGGTGCTCATGTAAACCTAGATTTTTTGGCGACGGAGAAGCTTGCCAAGGTGAGAATTTTAAACACTGAAAGAGACAATAACGACGAAAGGAAAAGACTCATACAAATGTAGACCAGCAACAATGGTGTTGACAGTGGGTCCTACAGATCGGAAAAAGAGGTAGTACATGTATTATCAAGTCAGCTGCCAGGTAAAGCTTATTTGGTCTTGTTAGGCCTCGCGAGTTATGCTTTACTGCTGAGGCCAACTTTATGCCTTTTTTCGTTGAGAAAATCTCGGGTAACTATTTACCATTCTCGCCTCGATTCTGTGGCTGCAATATGCCGTCAGTCGATCGATAAAGTTCATTGATCAACTACATATATCTTATTAACCAAGCGCAAGGCCGTAATGGGAGAATATCGGCCCGAGGTCTTGACAGTACGGACCGAGCGCAGC